CAGTCTGCGTCCACCCAGCACTCCACTGCAATACAGTCGGTGCGCTGAAGAAGGAACTCTTTTCGTTGGGTAGGGGCTCCGTGTTCCTTAACTGTTTCACAGCTTGCCCCACGTTTTCCTTAGGTTTTCGAAGGAAATCGAAGTTAAGCTTCTGGAGAAAAGGGGCCTCGTTCCTTATTTAGGGTTCCTTAGGTCAGCGCCCCGACTGTACCTTCTTTGTTCGGAATCAGCTGCATATTTTAGTCTCGCGTGCCTGCAAAGTACCGCGCCATCTTCTTCAGCCTCCTCAGGTCCTTCTCCGTTGGTCCTGGCATGCCCCTGCTTAGAACTCCAACTCCATGTTGAATGCCAGGACGGTGGCTCGCCAACTGCAATAGCTTCCCCACACAGGTCCTGTAGCGACTGTGGCTCACCGTGTCTAGCTTCACCTCGTCGCTCTTCATGTGTACCTCGTGCTTTGTCTCGGGCAGTACTGATGGCTTCGCCGTCTCCAGGCCCAGCTCCTTCAGGATGTCGTCGATCAAGCTCGTCTTGCCGCTGATCGTGTAGCCGTCCTCGACCTTCTCCACCTGCATGCTCAGGAACGTCGCCTGGTCTCCGTTCTTGGTGAGCTTCACCACGTCCGATGATTTCAGTCTCTCTGCCATCACCTCTAATAACTTGTCGACTTCGTCGCTCGGTCCAGTGATTAGGAAGTCGTCGGCGTGTCTCCCTGGCATTCATCCTGTTGCTCAGCTTCATGAAGGGACACCCGTCGTAGTGACCCCTGACCATCTCGAGCTCCTCCATGGTGTGCGCAGCGTGATCCTCCCAAGCCTTCGGTGCTCCTTTGAGTCCTGGAAATGCGCACAGCGCCTCCCAAGCATGTCCTTCAGGTACTCCTGCTTCTGGTGGCGGCTCCAGGAAGATACGGTCCTCGCTGAGCGGTGCCTGGTAGAACGCCCCACTTCAGTCGCCAAGCGCCACCACGTGGTCGCGCAACTCCGCGTTGACCATCATCGCCTTCAGGTGCGGAAGTGAGGGGGTCGTGGCCACGAAGTTCTCGTGCCCGTACATCTGCTGCTCGAAGCTACGTGTGGTCCACCGACTCTTCCTGCTGCCGTCCGCCTGGTAGGTGTCGACCACTTCCCCGTCAAGATCTTGGACGTCGTGTCCTTGATCGGGGTCACCTTTACGATCTGCTTGCCGTCTCCTGCGATCTTCTCCAAGTGCTCCTTCCTTGCCTCCGTGAAGTCGCCCTCCAGTGCGTACGTCTCCTCGTCCTCCACCTGCGGCTCCTCGCACACCTCCCTGACCGCATTGATCATCTGGATGGTAGTGACCCTGGACTTCTTACCTTCGCTTCCTTCTCCGCCTTCGCGTTCTCGCCTGGGACTCCTCTCTACCAGCGGAATGCCCACTGGCTGCGGTGGTGCCGCCCTCGGTGTTGACGGTCCTGCCGCCTCGTCCCTGGGCCTCTTCGCCTCCAGTCGCTTCTCGTCCATGTCCACGTCGTCGTACGGTGCTGCCGCCGCTGCTGCTGCTGGCTGTGGTGGTGTTTGCTGTGGTCCTCCTTCTGCTGTTGCCGTTCCTCTTCACCTGGTCGTGCTGCTGCGACTGCTGCCCCGATCGGCGCCAGTAGCGTCATCTCCTTGTGCACCTCCTCGGTGTCATCGTACATCTTGGTCCATCACTCCAGTAAGTAGTGGTTGTTGATCTTCGTAAGCTTGACCAGTCCTGCCGTCTCGTGCCTCAGTAGTCCCCCTTTGCCGTCGTACCAAGCCACGCGGTTTTCCATCCTGCTGCAGAACTTGCCCACGCTCATGATGGGCTGCTCCACGTCGGTGACCTGGAACTCCATAATGATGCGCCTGTCGCCTGCTATGTAGAGCGTCACCGTCTTCGATCCATAGTGCCTCAGTGGCGTGCCGTCTGCGACCATCAGGTTGGGGTTGCGTCTTGGTTTGAGCTCCACGTTCGGGAAGTCCCTGATGCCGCACACGTGCTCATCGGCGCAGTTGTCCGTCAGCATCCAGAACGAACGCCACATGCCGTCCCCCATCATGCTATAGACCTTTCTCTCCTGCACCTTGGGCTTCCCGTCCTTCGTAACTGCGAAGATGAAACCTCCTTCCCACTCAGACGCGTGCTCGTCTAGCGTGGTGATCGCTCGAACTCCTGCTCCCACTTGGCTGGCTGAAGGTCCCGCTGTCGATGGTGCTGGACTCCCTGGTGGTGTTGTGCTGATGTTGCCCCAGCCGTCATACATCGTGATCTCGTTCATTCCTCCTTTCTGTCCTTCTTTGACCTTCTGCTTACCCTTGTCGTAGTTGGGATTCTCCTGTCGATACCAGCAGTCCCTTGCATATTGCCCCCTCTGGCCACAGGTGTAGCAAAGCCTCGCCCGAGGCACTCCTGCCATATTTCAAGCTGGCTGGCGTGCTGCTGCCGCCCTTGCCATGGGATCTGCGCCCTTGCTCTTCTGGTCTTTGCTCTTGTTCTTGCCTTTGTTGTCGTCTACCTTTGCCTTTGTCGTCCCTGCC